GTGTAGCGTTCCGCGAACGCTGAAGGACAACTGATTGTTGTTGCGAGTTTCCGGGCAAACGTCTAATCTTACTTTGCGCGACGATGTGTTTGAGCATGTGTGACATGATTTCCGGTATGCAAGCGGAGCAGGCATGCGGACATTGTATAGATAATACGAACTTCCATCTCTGACGCGTAATCGTTATTTGAGACTCGCGATAAGATACTCGGATTTCTCAAACGGTCTTTGTTGTAGAAATATCAATGACCGGCGAGCATATTATATGAGAGGCGAGCATTGAATCTTATTTAAGATGCAGTAAGCAGCGTCTTGATTGATAGCGCAAATCCTGCATACTCTTCATAATATGCTCCCTCTGTTTAAGAAGAAGGGGGATCTCTGTACATATATCTAGTGTCTACTATATTCGAGCACATCATACCGCATTGATCTAATCTGTACTTGCGGGCAGGTATCTACGCCACCGAGCGATCATGAATTCTAAGCCCTTCGTATCGGATCTCTGTTAACTAACGGAACGGATATTAATTTCGACATGCTTCTCAAACCGATCTGTTGATCCAATTTACACGCGCATTTGACGTGTAATTCTCCATATACGTTCCCATGTAATGAAGTTGCGCGAAATTATGTACGACTATGTCCTGTTATATTAAACTATCCGTCTCAAGATAGTAGTCTTTATCTAACAAGATAAGCGAGTATTTTCAATTACGACGGTATCGAGTGCTATATTTGAACTACTTTCTGCAATAACGCGGATGAAGTTAAATATATATATTTTTTTAATGTAACGGTACTTTATTCTCTCTTCCGGTTTGTTTTTTCTTCGCCATCCGCGCACAACCGACTTTTTCTCGGCAGATTATTCCATACAGATCTCTAATTCGCCGGTAAATTTGAGGAGTTCGCGCGGTAATGCTCTGTTTCCATTACATAGAGATTTATCAGTGATATATTGTATGAGTGTGTATGTGTTTGCAAAAGTAGCTAGGTAAAGAGAAGAGGAAAAGACGTGGTAGGTAGGACGAAGCGCGATCGTTCGGTCAGTCATGAGTGCCGGAAGGACTGCGAAAGTTTTCCTTTGGTCGCACGAAGGTCTCAAAGATTTTCGAGATTAAAAGCTTCACGAGAGAGTTGACTACGTCGCTACCGGTCATCCGATTCCGCGTTCCTCGCTGTCTCTCTCTCTCTCTCTCTGTCTCTCTCTCTGTCTCTCTCTCTGTCTTTCGCGACCGCTATCGCTTCCGCTAAGGCTATGTAATGAGCGACCGCAGCTAAGACTCATCCAGCGCACGGTATTCGAGGCCGCGCATTCCTGTGGTCCCGGGGGTCAGCATGAATTCCGAGACATTGCCTTTGGGGAGCCTTGCGAAGTTAGACCATCGGAATCAGCGGGAGCTTTCGTACGCGGCGGTTGAATTATTTCCCTTTGAAAAGGCTCGCGTGCACATCCCGAGCGAAAGAGCGGACGGTATAACCCTTTCGCTGGACTCTTGGAAATTATTCCCGAAGTTTTCCTTCTCATTTGCCGGCGCACGGAGATAGAAGGGCGACTTTTGACGGGCGGCATTCGCGAACCAGGCGATACCAGGCGACGCGACGTCGCGGCAAAAAAAGTGCCGGGAAAAGAATCGATTAATTTCCACTCTGCATTACTCACGCTGCTCTTCCAGTCGCGCTTTTCCAGTTACTTTCTTTTTTCTTTCTTCTCGCGCCAGTCGATGCTCTGGGAAGTTCTCTCGTCTCGGGGGTAAAAAGCGCACGCGAGACTCGCACCAACTCGTTCGCGGGACTTGGCGTCGGGGATGGAGAACGACGGGATAAAGGGCGGCGAAGGGTTTGAGAAGACGCGTGGCGCGCGAAGGCACGATCCAAGTTTGTCGCGCAATCGCGTTGTGGGCGTGCGCGCAAAAGTGAAAACTTTGTTGCGAAATCCCAAGAACCACGAGCGAAGTGTTAGCGCAAATCGCGGTGGCCGAAACGAGAAAGACAGCCGCCTACTATCGATTCGCGAGTACACGCGGGCAATGTTTGCGATGGGATAGTTTGTAACTTCTTCGCCGCTTTTTCATGTAATGGCGTAGCGTTTTCGAACGCGTAGCGGCTTGACCGGGTATTACGGACGGGTAGAAAACGAATAGCGAATGAGTTTTCGGTCGTTTAACCTAAACCCATCGCGTGTGAGCTTTACTCTTCAATCGTCGTTTTAATCGGATTTGAGGAACTCGTGCGAACTTTAATTCCCAATCCGTGTACAAAGAATTTTACACACAGACGCAAATTAAATTAAACAGACGTTCTCTTTCGTTTTTTTTTCGCGCCCGCACACGTGTTCGTTTGACGGCTTACACGTTCTCGTCCGAAAGGAGCAGCTTTAGCGGCATTAGCTTTCATCTTTTCTTTATTTCGGGCGAAATCCGTCCGCGATGTAAGCTCCGGCTAGAGCGGCGCCCTACACAAGGACTCTCACTAAACAAAAAGTACGCAAAGCGCGAGGAAGACGGCGAGCGCGTCGAGGGATGGTTGGATATTCCAACGACAGGATTACGTGCACTGTGAAGAAGGAAATAGCAAGAAGAGAGACAAGAGAACGAGTAAATCTTTCGCCTTTTTCTTTACTTATCCTTCTTTCTCACTCTCTTATAGCTACAGAAAACACTTTGTACTCGGCGGTGTAAACGCGCGAAAGTACCTGCGTTCGTGAGATGAGACGATTTCGTCGCTACGAATATCTTTTCGCGGATAAAGGGAATAATGAGGATATAATGCGGTCTTGGACATTTAAATGATGATCTATATGGACGCTTATAAAATTTTGCAATGATGCGAACAGTGAAAAGATAGAAATAGATTGCATAATCGCGCTAAAAACTCGGAACTATTTCTATCGTTTTGCTATCTTTATATATTGATTAAACGATAAAGAAGTCGCGAAATGCTCGTCTTCCGTGTAATATACTTAGATCGTTCAGGCGGACGTTAGACGAGAAATGAGAATACTTCCCTCATCATTTATGTGATTCGGGAAGGA